GAAAGGATATTTCCTCATTATCTTCTCATTAGCTCGTGACGGTTTTGTCAGTTGTACATTTGTATCAACTGGAGTCCTTGCTGGTTTGCAATCTTGCATGCCAAACCGCTCCAAGATAGCTTCAGTGTATTGGCGCTGTGTTAAGACAACACTATAGTCATTCTCGTCTTGTTGGAACTCGATTCCCAGGCAATGATTCACTGGCCTCAAGTCTTTCATCTCAAATGACTCTGCCAAATTCCGTTTCACCTCCTTCATCCAGCTCGGATCGTTGGTTGCGATCACAATATCGTCGACATAAATCGCAATTATCATCACGCAATTTTTCTTCCGCGATGTAAACATACATGGGTCTTGGTCTGTTGGTCGCATACCCATTTGCTTCAGTTTTGACACAAGACGACGATACCATTGCAACCCTGATTGTCGCAATCCATAAAGTGCTTTCTTCAATAAGCACACACTATCTTGATGTGCGTTCAATGCATGTAGCCAACGTTTTGCAGTTCTTACAATATCTTCTTTTTGAGTTATTTTTGCATTTGAACCTACATGTTTTCCAGCGATGATCTTCGTCAATACCTCGTGCAACTGCTCCGGTACCTCCATGTACACGTCCTCTTCCAGTTCACCATTGAGATAGGCGGTTACCACATCCATTTGATGGATTTGCAACCCCAATTCTGCCGACAATGCCGCCAATAGTCTAATTGAAGTCGATCTTGCCACGGGGGAATAAGTTTCATGGAAATCCTCCCCTGCACGTTGTGAGCAACCCTTTGCTACGAGACGTACTTTCTTCTTTGTGACTAGTCCACTATCTTTGGTACAGAAAACAAATTTACTACCAATCACTTTTCGCTTTTGCGGTCTTGGTACAATTTCCCAAGTGTTGTTACGTATCTGCGCAAGGTATTCATCTTCCATGGCTGTTCTCCAGTCTTCGACGTCGTCGCTTTGCTCCGCTTCTTGCCACGTTGCAGGATCGTGTGTTATTGTTAAGTTACATTCCATAAACGCGTCATCATTGTCTGGAGTCTCACCAGGTAGACTCTCATCATCCGAAACCTCACTATCCTCACCATCGTTTCCGTCATTGTTGTCAGCGTCCAGATGATATAGTTTTCTCGGCCTTCCAACCGATCCGGTACGCAATATCATCGGCCTTCCCCTTCCACGTTTCGGTGGTTGAAGCCTCGTTGGTAAAGGAGCCTTCCGTTGTTTTTCGTTTAGGTGCTTTAACGATGACATCTCGAACTTGAAGTCTTTCGGTGTGATGCTCCTCTGCCTCGTCCTCAATCAACTCGTCTTTCCGTTCGTGTCCTCTAGTTTCGATTTGGTCGGGTTTCTCGTTCTCAAGAAACTCTTGGTATTCACGATCAAAAGCTGACTCGTTCAAAAATTTCACGTCGCGACTCACGATTACTTTACGCGATTTCGGTAGCCACACGCGATATGCTTTCGATTCATTTGAATATCCTATGAAAATACCTTCCTCTGATCTCGAGTCAAATTTTCCTTTTTGGAGATTTTTGTCCGACACGAACACTTTCGAACCAAAGATTTGAAAATATATCACCGTAGGTGTTTTCCCTTTCCATAATTTATACGGTACCTGTCCATCCAGCGATTTTGTCACGCACCGATTTCTCACATAGCACGCAGTATTTACCGCCTCTGCCCAAAACACTGGAGAAACATCCGCTTGACGCATCATGCACCTGGCCATTTCGACCAGCGTCCGATTCTTTCTCTCCGCCACGCCGTTTTGTTGGGGGGTATGCGGTGTCGATAATCGCCTCACGATACCGTTTTGCTCCAAGAATTGGTCAAATTCCTTGTTGCAGTATTCTTTTCCATTGTCCGACTGTAATGCTTTTATTTTTCTCCCTGTTAAAGTTTCTGCTGCGGCCTTGTACTTTTTAAACGCACTCAAAACATCGCTTTTGTTTTTCACAAAGATAACCTCGCACCAACGCGACCTATCATCGATAAATGTCACAAAGTATTTTGCGCCAGAATGTGACGCAGTTCTCATCGGTCCACACACATCTGAATGCACTATTTCTAATACGACCGCCTTCACTTTTCGGAAATGGAGCTCGAGTTTGTTTCTCGCAAATACACACTTTACATGTTGACATTGTTTGATCGATCTTAAGTTTCAAACCATGCACAACTCCGCTTTTCGCCATGTTTTTTAAGTCTCGTTCGTTTAAATGTCCCAACTTGTAATGCTACTCGTCGATCTCACTCTCAGTATGATTCACGGACATCACCACATTCTCTCCTTTTCTCGCCGCATCGTTTTCATTTATCGGGTTTTTGCCCCTTTGCACATAATACAAATTTCCGATTCTATCTGCTCGAAAAATTATTTCTCCGTGCTCACCGGTCACGGTCGCGCCTTTTTCACGAAAATGTACTTCATATCCGCGATCCGTTATTTTCGACACCGATAACACGTTTGTACGTAAATCCGACACGTAATATACTTTTTCAAAGTTTACATTTGTCTCCTGTTTACCATTACTCACGGCCATTCGCGCGTTTCCCACGCCCGTTATATTTGTTGACTCACTGTTCGTCAAATTCAATGTCTTATACACACTTTCGATTTTCTCGAACTTTGTCTTTTCAGTACACATGTGTGCAGTGCACCCACTGTCCAAGCACCATTCTACACCATTTATGCTCTCGCGATTAAATAATACCGTCTCAACTGTGTTCAGCATCGCCGTGTCTCCGCGCGCCCGTTCTGAACTTACTGATTCATTGTCATTGTCTTCCACCTGTCGTGCACTCACTTGTAAATTCGCAGGATACTTTGCCAGACACTTTTTGGCAATATGACCGGTTTTACCACAACGGAAACATTTAAGTTTTTTTTGACCCGCACTTGCTTGGCTTTCGGTTTTATCATTCCTCGAATCTTCACGACTGTCATGTGGCACACGCGTGTTTTGACGAAACTTTGACCTTCTCGCGTACATAACATTCTGCTCTGTATTGTTGTCGCTCGCTTTTCGCGATTCATATTCTTCAAGTATTTTCACTCGCAATATCTCGGGATCTGGTAACTCATCTCGCGTCTCAATAGCGCAACGAAAATTTCCAAACGATTCTGGCAAACTGTATAACAATAAGATTGTTAACACTTTCTCGTTGACTATCAAACCGATCTCTTTTAATCTTGCCACTGCCTCGAAAAATTCCGTAAGGTGGGTTCGTACATTGTCCCCCTCTTTCAATCGTGACAAAATGATTTTCTTCAAGAGTATCGCTTTTCGCGCCGGTCCCTTCGACTGGAATGTCGATTCGATTTTTAGCCATACTTCTCTTGACGTTTCTAGACCACGGATCACGTTCAGCTCCGACGTACTCATCGACAACACGATATCGGCTTTTGCTTTCGCATCTTTATTTGTCCATTCCATCGCATCTGTCCCAGACGACGGCTTCACTTTTGTCCCGTTCACGTAGGCTCATACGTCGTTTTTCACCAGTATAGCCTCCATCTGCATTTTTCACGTATCATAATTTTCGGCAGTTAACGGCTCGATTTTTATAATCGCCGACATTTTAACACCACTTTTACTGTCTTTTATTGTTTCAGTCTTTATCTCGCGATTTCTCTATTTTCGCGTATTGGTTCTCACACGCTAACGGTTTTCCCGTATACGCGGCGCACGGTACACCTTAACCACGTTTTCGCCGAGCTCTTCACTCGCGACTTTTAATCGAACACTCGCGTTTCACGCACCCTGGGCCCATAACCTGTTGGTGGGTGATAATTAGAGTTTGTTTCTATATAACGCGGTTTTATTCAGATTAATATTACAACGATTATGGTTACACGTGGTCAACCGTGCGACGCCAGAAAGAGAACTGAACTGAACTATGAGTATCAGAAAATAGAATAGATAGGCGTCGGTAATGTCGCGACAGTTAGTTAGAGTGGAGCCACTTCGTATCTCCAACATCTCTAATAAAAACTTGTTTAAAAAAATGGGCACAGTAACAACTGTGCTGCAAGCAACAACGTAGAACTACGTCAACTGTCACTATTTCATGTTAAAGTATTCAGCGAAGGAAAGTAGACGTAGGGCTACGTCAAATGTCACTATTATTCAACTAAAGACAGATTTTTTTGATAAATAAGAGTACGGATGGCTATAAAAAAATTTTTTTAATTTATAGACAGCAATCCTGTTTCGATCTATGGATAAAGAGGAAATTCAAATATTTTCTATTTTTTAATTACATTTTTACTTATTTTTATTATTGAAGTACTTTTTTTATAATGGAATATTATAAATTGGGGAACTTAACGGATAGCATGTGACAATTAAATCATATAGTTAAAAAATTATTTTCGAACAGAAATAAAAAAGTTTCTTAAAAAATCGAAGTTATTGAAATCCCATCTTCATCAATGGCTTAAAAATTTCGAAACTAAGTAGGATTTGTGAGATTTTTTTGAAAAAAATCAAAACGGTTGCATTAAGAAAAAAAATATTTTTTACTTAAATCCTAAAAAAAGTCATATTGCCCATTAAAAAATTTTTTTATATTTTCTTTGAAAAGTACAGTAAAAAAAAAGATTACCTCATTTTTTACAATATTTTTTGTCTTCTTAAAGTTACAGGCATTTGAAATTTTAAACTGCATTTTTTTGAAAAAATCCATAACCAAGTATGTGTAGAGATGAAAATCTAAAAAAATTAATGGAAGCTACTTTCATTTAGTATAAAAACACAAAAAAATTTCTGCCAAATCAAAAATGGTCGAGGAAAATCCTCTCTGATTTGGCATGAAATGCGCCATATATATATATATACACTGATAAAAATTGATGCAAATTTACAAAGAAAATTTATTTACTTTTGGGGGAAATTTACTGAATTTTTATAGGTTTTTAATTTCAAATTTGCATTGTTTTTTTAAATTAAAAATACAGAAATTTTATGAAAAATTAACTGAATCTGGTATTTTTACAGATCATTTGTAAATAGCTCCTATAGAGCCCAGTCAAATTAAGATTTTTGGATGAAAAAATTGCCGGCAAGCTGGAAATTGGTATACAGGTTCATTTTAATGTTTTTTTAAACATACTAAAAGTCCCTATACATAGAGCGTGAGCCGGCTGCGCCATCTTGAAAAAAAGAGTACAAAAATGGGTTTTTTTGCGAATAACTCGGAAATTATTAGTTTTACGGGAAAGAACATTCAGAGCGAAAACGTAGCTGATAAAATTTCTCATAATTTGGTTTTTTGTAGAATTTCGTACGACTATTAGTTCCCGAGATAGATTTTTTTGAAGCATCGTGCAAATGAGGAAAGAGCTGTTTCTTCGAGCGTTTTTTCAAAATATCTCAGTTTTGGTTGTCCGAAAATAAAAAATGCATACAATGAAAGTGAAAGAGAATTAAATTACCTACAAAATGTATTATTTATGTTATACCGCGCGACAAATATTTCTGGAAATATTACGGTTTAAATGAAATTTTGACTTTCGGAAATTATGAGAATAAATATTTCCTCGCAATATATAAGTCGGAAATGGGTAGTCCTACGTAAAAAATAGTTAAAATCAAATAGAAAGGTTATTAAATTTTCATTATTTTGGTTTTTGACCGATTTGCGTAAGACTAATAGTATTTTTGATATCCGTAAAAGAAACGGTTTTTAGGTACACTTCTCAAAATGGCGGACTTTCAAGTTATTAATAGATGAAATGAAGTAAACGCTCGTGTGTCAAAATAAACTGTAAGAATAAAGGCCAACAATCGAGCATAGACGTGGATGTTAAATTAAAGTTTGTTTATTAAACATAAGTATGTGTAGAACGGGACGTTTCGACCGCACAGGGTTTTCTTCAGCCGATACAAATTAAAAAATTACATAAAGTCGCGCAATAATCAGTAAACCCGTAAACGGTAAAAAGAAACAAATTCGATGGAAATAACAAAAGTCATCCGGAGTCACATCTTACATGAGAGCATTCTAATGGTAAAATATAAAATTGTATATATGTATATGGGCAGATCCATTACTTTTCGACCAAAAGTTGCGGGGGTGGGTCACCGATTTTGATGCCGATTTTTTCCTCGAAAGTACACTAGAAAAGGAGATGATCCTGAAAATTTGAGCCCGATTCGATCAAATCCGGCCGCTGGAGAATTTTTTTAATTTTGAAAAAAGTCGATTTTTCAGTCATTTTCAAAAATTTATATCTCAGCTTCTATATAACTTAGAGAC